ATGTTTTACTGCTGCCAATCAGAAGAGGACCTGACCAAGCCTAGTTCCGATTGAGGATGCTTTTTTTCATGAATTTAAATGATATTAATCTTGAGTCTGTGTTTTTCATCCTCAGTAAAGTGCTGCAAACGTTATAAGTCAGGAAATCTGAAATCTATAGTAATGTTGAAGATGTGAGCTGGAAGAGTCTTTTATTTGAGGAAGGGGAAAGTGATAGGAATGGGAGACATTTTATAGGAAAATTGTGAAGCTTAGTTTCTACCATGACATAAAGTTCTACAAATTATTTTTGAATTTTGGTAATTAGGAACCAGATGGTGGCCTTCAAGGTGGAAGGAATGATTTTTTTTTTTTTTGAGGAGATAGGAGTAAAATCAAAGAATGTCAGAGCTTTCTATGCCACCAAGTAAAAACCCATCTCTCTCCTTTGATCACTGTTTACTCAAGTGCCAAATTATGAAGAGAATAAAAATCTCAGACGATTATATAAAGTTGCTGAAACCAGTAATTTCCACTTGACTTAATGATTTTTAGCAACCCCTCAAAATTGGTATTATGTTCATTTTTTCAAGTGAGGAAAAAGAGGTTCAGAGATGTTACAAAAGATAGTGAGTCACACAGCTAAATAGAGGCAGCAAGATTCAAACAGAGCCTTGTCCAGTTCCAGGTCAGATCTCTCAGTGAGAATCAGAGAAAGTCCTTGTTAGTCCTCAGTGCTGCTGCGGCTGACTCCCTTGCTTATTGGGTCACTTGTTTTCTATGCGCTTCCTGCAACTCGGACTTGCAAGGGACACTCTGTGGTTCAGTTGAATGGTTATGTCCTTAGTACTTAGTACAGCACAAGGAATTCAATAAAATTTTCACTTAAAAAAACAAATGAATATGCAGATGTGTCATAGACCTGGCAGTGGAAACCAAGCCACTGCACTCACATTTCCCTTATTTGTCACACTGACCACAGTCCCTTTTGCTTGGTTTTCTCAACCACCACAAGTGTCCAAACACCCCAAACAAGACACACAATGAGTAAGGATGCTTGATAGAAGGGGTTTTGTATAACCAGAGGCTAGTCCATAATGCTTGCTTGTAGAAATGCTGACATAATCTAAACAATGCCAAGAAAAACCTGCTGAGACATGATTTTTTCTTCTCTACTTTTTTAAACCGAAGTCCCTCTAAAACAGTAATAGTGAAAAGAGTAAACTTGATTAAACTTAGTGTTACCTCACTACCACCCTTCCTGTGACCCAGTAATATGTGTGTTTGGCTGGCTTATGCATCTGGCTGAGTCTTAAGTTTTATATACTCTTCTGAGACTTTTATTTTCCATGTAAGTGGGCACTTGACTAAATAGTGATCAAAGTAGAAAGATGGGTTTTTACTTGGTGATTTGCTACTTCCCTCAAAAAAGAATGTTCTGGCCTTCTATATATTTGTTTTGCATCTAGGAGGTGGTAGGGCTCACTGTCTTTTAATAACCTGGTTCATTTGAGTAACCTGAGATGACTGGCCTTTGAATTTTGAGTTATTTTTTAAAGCTATATATGGCTGCTTTAGCTCAGTCAGTAAAGAATCTTCCTACAATGTAGGAGACCCGGTTCAATCCCTGGCTCTGGAAGATCCTCTGGAGGAGGAAATGGCAGCCCACTCCAGTATTCTTGCCTGGAAAATCCCATGTACAGAGGAGCCTGGTGGGCTGCAGTCGATGGCGTCGCAAGAGTCGGTCATGACTTAGCAACTAAATCACCACCACTGCTGCTTTGCCAGTGGACTATACATATAAGAAATTGACTACACTGTTTACTGTGACAGTGATAAGTGAGCCACTTTCTTCTCTTCTGTCCTTAAAGCTTAAGTGGAATAAAGTTCACAGACGCCTTTATATTTTTGTATAAAACATTTGTCCAGACTCTTTACCGATGATAATTTTCATTTTGTATCTTTGTTTTATTATTTTGTGCAAGTTCTTAGTATATTATTTTCCAGTGATGATTTAAAGACTGACCATGTGTTTTGAGACTTCTTTTTTAATAAAGCAAGATATAGTCTTCGTTATTCAGAACTCTGTATTTTATTGCATAGTGTGTATGTATATATATGCAGAGTACATCATGTGAAATACCAGGCTAGATGAATCACAGGCTGGAATCAAGATTGCTGGGAGAAATATCAACAGGTTCAGATATGCACATGATGCCACTCTAATGGCAGAAAGTGAAGAGGAACTAAAGAGCCTCTGGATGAGAATGAAAGAGGAGAATGAAAAAGCTGACTTAAAACTCAATATTCAAAAAATTAAGATCATGGCACCCGTCCCATCACTTCATAGCAAATGGAAGCGGGAAAAGTGGAAGCAGTGACATCAGTGACATTTTATTTTCTTGGACTCCAAAATCACTGCAGATGGTGAATGCAGCCATGAAATTAAAAGATGTTTGCTCCTTGGAAGAAAAGCTGTGACAAACCTAGACAGCATATTAAAAAGCAGAGTCCTCACTTTGCAGATGAAGGTCTATATATTCAAAGTTATGGTTTTTCTAGTAGTCATGAATGAATGTGAGCATAGGACACTAAAGAAGGCTGAGCACCAAAGAATTCATTCTTTTGAATTGTGGTGCTGGAGAAGACTCTTGAGAGTCCCTTGGACAGCAAGGAGATCCAACCAGTCAATCCTAAAGGAAATCAAATCTGGATATTCAATGGAAGTACCAATGCTAAAACTAAGTTCCAGTACTTTGACCATCTGATGCAAAGAGCCAACTCATTGGAAAAGACCCTGATGCTGGGAGAGTTTGAGGGCAGGAGAAGAGGGCAACAAAAGATGGGATGGTTGGATGGCATCACCAACTCAATGAATATGAATTTGAGCAAACTCCCAGAGATAGTGAAGGACAGATAAGCCTGTCCATGGGGTCGCAGAGTTGGACACAACTTAGCGACTGAACAGTAATAACACTCTACAAATAAAATATGTTACTGTTTATTATTAGCATAGAATATGCCTATCTACTGTAACAACTACTTCATGTGTATCCTTTCAGATAATTCTCTAATCATGTGAAATAGATTTTATTATCACCATATTAAAAAAATAATAAATGCTCGTTTTAGAGCACTTTTAAGTTTACAAAAAAATTGAGCAGAAGATATAGAATTGGCATATAGTCTCTTATCCTCCTATACTTTTCTGGTTGTGTTAACTTGAACTTGTCTTGTACATGTTACAACTGATGAGCCAATACTGAGACATTATTATTAATTAAAAGCCATAGTTTACATTAAGATTCACTCTTTGTGCTGTGTATTCTATATGTTTTTGACAGATGTAGAATGACATGTTATCTGTCATTACAGTACTATACAGAATAGTTTCATTGCCCTAAAAAATCTTCTGTGCTCCACCTGCCCTCTTTTTTTGTAATAGAGGAAGTTATAGCTAATAGATAAAATTATTTTCCAAGGGTCATTTAGCTACAAAAGTGTGAGAGCTGCTCTGCCTCCTGAAATCTGTGCTCTTAACTCATATCGTAGACTGCCTAGTTCATCACAATTATTTAATCATTTAGGGGATCCTAGCTTGGTAAGATTCTTGCTAATTCTTACTAACTTCAACAAAGGGTAATATGTGTAGCAAGTATTTTGCTTGTGCTTTCCTTTGAAGTTAAAACACTGTGAGAAATATTGCAGGAGAATTTTCAATGTTTAATTATTGGATATTTGGCCAAATGTTTCTTGTAAATTAAACAGGAATTATTGACATGAGTAACATTAGTAAAATGAAAGAGAAAGTCAGTGGTCTGATCGGTATAGTTATCACTTGCTGCTGGAATAATGGGTGAGTAAAAGAGCAACAGAATGAACTGTTTAAGCAAAATGAATAAACAAAAAGAAGAGGTCTTTTGGAGACATGAGTCAAAGTTGCATAATATGTAGAATATTAGATTAATCATATACCTCTATCTTTGGAATAATTATCTCCTTAACAGTGGTTTAAAAAATATGTATGTGAAGGGGAAAGAAAAACATCACATGAAGCTAATGTGGTAGACAGTGTATGAATTAGAAGGAATGATCAGATGAGATTGTTTTTCTCTCAGCTTCCCACAGCTTCCGGGCACCACCCATGACTTGCTTCCACCCAGTTAACATAGATCTTCATTTTACCCTTGCCGTACAGGACAGGGCTTTTTTTAGGAAGGGTCTTCTTTGGACTGTTCTCTTAGCTTGAGTCACCCCCTTTTTGTTACTCTGTGGGCAGTTTTGGTTCAGAAGCTACAACACAGCAAAGAATGTCTCGTTTTAGAATCTGCCTGGATTATGCTATTATTTCATGAAAAATCAGTTTATTACATATAAGCCTTTGCTCCTACTTTTTGCTTATTTTCTTCTGAGATTGATGGTGATGTTCACTTAAAACTGTAGCTAGGGAGAAGATCTAGCTTTAGACTAAATCCTGATGTAGGTATGTTGTAGTCCTGAGTGACAGCAGCAAGGATAAGCAGTATTCGCTTGAAATTCAACAACTTGTGACTTAGTTTCTTCCTACATAAAGTAAACATTAGGACAAAATCATCTCAAAAGCTAAAATGATCATCATTCTTTACAAAGAAGAATGAATGAATGAATGTTGACAACATAAATTGAAGGGAGAAAATAAAATAGAAAATGAAAACACATTTCCCATCATCCCTGGAAACTCTCTCATCCTTTTGGTTTCCGTGAAACCGTTTTTTCCCTTTCTTCTCTTGCTCTCCTGGTTCTCTGTGATATCTTTGATGAACTCACTTTCCCTGTCTCTTCTCACCCTGATGTTTTCCAGGATTCTGACTTCAGTCTTCTCTCTCAACACATTCTGCTTTATCATCCCATTTAGGTAAAAACAAAGCACTGCTTTTTGATGATGAGTAACAGGTAGACATTAGTCTACCTCATACGGTCCCAGGAGGTGAAGAATCCTTCATGATGTGCTGCTGAATCATCCATTTTCTCTGTTTTTTAAGGGTCGTAAGAGTGAGGCTGAAAAGTTCTTCTTGAAGGCTATTGAGCTGGACCCCACCAAAGGAAACTGTTACATGCATTATGGTGAGTGATTGATAGTTTTTTCCATGTACCCCACAATTATGAATGCTGATATGAGATTCAGGTTGCACCAATAAAGAACATTTTGAGAGGACATTGACTTTGCCGTTGCAGACATAGCCTTCAGCTGTAGTCTTGCCTTCTTGTTCAAAGCATTCACGGTAACAAGGGCTATGCCTTATGTTTTCCCTTAGTTATTTTCATAGGACTTCAGTGGTGAAAGGTATTTTCAGTCACTCCCCCAGTTCAGTTTGGAGTTTTAAGTGAGATCTCATCAGCAAATCATCTCACTCCTTGCCTGATGCATGGTATATAATTAAAATATTAATATTAGCTCTCTTTTCATTCTAAATTGCAATATACTGCTCACTGAATGTAATATTTTGAAGCATTAGAGGCTTAACTTTTGGCTACCAAATCTTGCTTTCTGGAAGATTTGGAGGTACCCCAGCCTCTAAAGGCCTGAGATTGGGGTTAAGGATAAAAACTGTAGACTCTAAAGGATGTGTCTTTCACCAAGTTTACCCTCAGTTTATCTTAACCAGTCCAGAATGAACTTCTATAACAACTCTGTTACACTCCACACCATCGTTAGTAGTGAGTCATGTGTTCCTTGAGGCGATGTATATAGCTGGTTTGGTGTCAGGTAAGATGTACTGATTTCTATCTTATTTGCATTTGCAATAGCTTTCAAGGAGCTGAAAAGCATTTACTTCTGTTGATCCCTTGGAAAAAGAATTTTTTTGACACTATTAACTTTGATGTGTCAAGTTATTATCAAGTAGTAAACTTAAAGATGAATGGGAATGAAATACCTTGAGGAAATAAAACTATTATATTTGTATAATATTAAATTCCTTCTCCCGTTTTCCACCTAGTAAAAATGAATCAGTGATGGGCTGTGAGTGTGGAAAATGAAAATTTTAAAATGGAGGATACTCTTAATTAACCATCAGTTCATTTGTTTGTTTATATTGTGTGTATATGTTTATTTTTATTTATTTATTTATTTTTTTATTAGCTGGAGTGTATATGTTTATAAATGTAGGGTTGTGATACTTTATCTTTTCAGCATGGCACAGCATGTAATTTCATGCAACTAACTGTATCACACCCCTGACTTTCTTTCACAATGCAGTTTTATTGCCATATTAAGATAGTAGTCAACTAGTTTAAGTTTACTGCAGAATTTAGTTTATTTTTTCAGGTTTTCTTATATGAAGTGTTTTAAATTAGGGTTTTCTCATGCATACTATTTTGGGTATCCCTACTGAGCTAAAGTAATTCCCTGATTATTTTCTTGGAGTGCTGAAGGACCTCTTGTCATTTTATGAAATAGGTTTTTTTTTTATTTTAAATCCTGTCTTTCTGCTTGCATTTTCTGTACCTCAAACTAATTCTACTTAATTGCATCGTCTAAGCTTCTTTCCCATAATTTTATTATACACTTTAGATTTTTCACAACCAATTCCTTTAAACTTCATCATTGCTTCATTTGAAATGCCATTGGGAAAAGAAAAAAAAAACTGTTAATTTTAAGAGTTAGCTCCCTTATTCTGACTTCTCTGTCTTTACCCACTACTAGTCTTTTAATTTATTTTTTATATTTCAATATTCTCCTGAATTTTTTTTTCCTGGGGTGGTAATAGGGAGTATTACTTTCAGGAGAAATTTTTGGATTTAGTTTTAACAGAAAATGCAATAGATTCTTTATTGTGTTTGTTATTAGGAAAATAGTGATAAATGTTCTGTAAATGCCTGTGTAAAACTAATTCTTCTTAGTATTCTTTGGTTATTTTAAAATTTTTGGCATATAGCCATTACTAGAAGTACATTTGTTTTCTAAGGGAGGGATGACTGCATAATTCAATATGCTTTTATGAATAGTTTCAATATTTTTCCCCATTCTGGAATAAGAAATAGAGAGGAGTCAAAAAATGAGGCATCAGAAAGCAGTAGTTAAGGCAAAATAATCTACAGACAGACAGGAAGCCCGTAACTGAGTGCCTGATATTCCTGTCTCACTGTGCTCTAGTTATTTTAACATGTACATTTAAGGGAATATTAAAATTTTTGTTTAGAAAAAGTCTGCTTCAAATGAGTAAAATTTAGAACTGAAAGTTTCTTTTAAATTTATCTAATGTAACCTCTGATGTATAAATCAGTAGATTGAAACCTACAGAGATGATGTTTTTGCCCAAGTTAGTTGTAAGTAACTAAATTTTGGGTCCCTTGATAACTGTCATTGCTTTTCTCCTATAATATATATTCCATTTCTTTTCACAACGTTGTAAATAGACACAGTTAGATAGACACAAAGCATCTATTTTAGGCAGACACAAGGTGGCTGGGTAGGTAGATAGGTATTTTGGATTTGTCAGCCCTTTTGTGCAGTTTTAGAATGTCAAATTCATATAAATCACAACTTAAAATTCTTAGCAAAGGGTTTTTGTTAATTTTAATTTGTATAAGATGCAAAGCACTGTTATGTTTTCAGAATGGAAGTTGTGCTATGTAGGTAATAAATAGGATGATGTCCTTTTCAGAAGGTGATGTGATGGGAAGTAGAGTATAAGAATTCTTGAAACCAAATAGTCAGGTGAAACATTTTTGAGGAGGTGGTATTTGAAATCTAAGCTGATATTTTAAATCTTGCAACTCTTTGAAGAGCCAGATATGAGCATTTCAGACAAAGAAACGAAATTCAAAGGTCACAGGCAAGAACAAGCTTGTGTTCACAGCAAAGAAAGAGGCTACTATGATCAGAGCTTATTAAACTCAATGGAAAAGTGGAGGGGATGAGACTGGAGAGGAGGCAGAGCTAGAGCCCCCAAGCCCAGGAGGCTTTGGTAACCAAGCTAAGGAGTTCACTTTTTATTTTAAGAGCAGTGGAAGGAACCATGTGGTGAGACAGGATTAGAGAAGGATCAGAGTAGAACTCTGATTGCTATCTCACAGGTGAGAATGATGGTGGCTTAGGCTGGAGAGTGGTTGTGGGGATGTAAATATTTATAATGAAATTATACACTTACCTTCCTTAGAAAATTCTGAGGTAATTAACAGGAAGGACCTACTTTTCATTTTTGCACCATCAATACCCAGCATATTACCAAATCACAATTATGCACAATAATTGCTGAGCTCAGTTAATTTTAGAATTGGACACAGGTTCCAAAACTGATTGAAAATTTGCTTTGCTATGTTAAATTTTGTATTACTCCTTGTCCAAGAGGATACATACTATGGTTTTTATATCACTTTTTTTTCCCACTTACTGGTTGTGGATATTCTTTTTCTTTTTTTGGTTGTGGATATTCTTAAGGGTATTAATGCCCATGGATTGAATGAGTAATGACACTTCAGCTTAAAAATAAAAGTTTAAATGAAATATTAATGTTAAATGAATATTTGTGTAATGTAAATGAAATGTTAAATGTTATTTTGAGTCTTTTTTTAATGCTTTTGCAAATGGTAATGAACATGCCAGAGTGGGTGAGTTTTGTTCTATTGGAAATTCACTCTGCCTGGTGATTGTGGGTTTTTGTGTTTTGGTTTTTTTTTTTTTAGCTTATTAATGGTACAGGTGACTTGGAGTATGCCATCCAGTTGGGACTAGACAGAGGATATTATAGGAATTTGTAGTGACTGCAATGGCAATTAGAAGGTAGTATTTAAAAGTGTTGTTATAATGTTATTTGTGTTTTGAAACCACTTGTTTTATGCCTTGGGAGAAGAGATTGCATTAGAGATTGCCATTTTTTCTTCATGTTGACTTTCAGGGAAGAAAGCTAAGAAGATTTATAAAACTGGTTTAATAAGTTAGTTAAATGTAGCCTTGTGGTATGTATAGTCTCTGGGATTAAGATTCATCTGTAAAGTGAAAATATTGATATGGGCTTCCAAAGTGTTTACCAACTCATATTTCACATTGTTACTAATATATACTTAATTTCTCACTGATCTTTCATCAGAAATTTTAAGGAATGGAAAAGAAATAGGTTTCAAACTATGCTATTGGTACTAGTATAATATGTTCATAGTGCATCAAGCTTACAGTGAACTTCCATGTCCACATAAAATAAATCATATCTGGTCTTTATAGAATTTAATTTATTAATAAGTAAGCATTTGGTGCCTGGATGTCTCTTCTGTGCCTGTTAGCGAAGCGATTCTCCATAAATTTTCTTTTGGCTCCAACAGGAAGCTTCTGCTGAAGGAATGAAAGTCAAGACAAGTCCCTCCTTGTTACTTGATCTTGTTTTGTATTTTAAAGGATTACTGGAAAACCATTTTGTCAGAGAGAATATTTTATAATTTGTTTTTACAATACATAGTAAATTTGATGTAGACTGAAAAGCTAAAATCAGTATGTCTGTTCTAAGGTACCTACTATGCATAAATCTGGGACAGATGTCAAGTCATTAGATATTAAGCACCAAAGCATAAAAAATTAAAAGGGAGCAGATTTTGACAAAATCTAATGAGAAGTACTTTTTTATGTAGATCTTGGGTGGTTCTTCTTTTCCTATCTATCTCTTACCCATATGTTTCTAAGAGCAAAGAGTTTAGCCTCCTTTTCTTTATAATTGATCCTTTCTCTCAGTGATGCTCATTTCCAAGGATTCAGCTATGTAGTGATGAGTCCTTTTTAAGATTTTCTTTTTTTTTTTTCTTTTTTAAGATTTTCAAATTTTATTTTATTTAACTATTTGGCTGTGTTGGGCCTTAGTTGTGGCATGCAGGATCTCTGATCTTCATTGCAGCATGTGGGATCTTTAGTTGCTGCATATGAGCTCTTAGTTGTGGCATGTGGGGTCTAGTTTCCTGACCAGGGATTGAACCCCAGGGCCCCTGTGTTGGGAGCACAGAGTCTTAGCCATGGGACCACCAGGGAAGTCCCTATAGTGACCCATCCTGATCTTCTTCCTCCAACTCAATATTTATCAGGCACCATAAGTGTTACCAGACTCAGGTCTGACTGCTGCTCAAAAACCAATACTCCA